TTTAAACGGCAATACCTGGTTGGATTGGTCATTAGTTTTTAAAAATTTCCTTCATTGTTGACAAAGGGGTTCGCATATGTTTACTTTTCCAGGCCGTCTTAGAGGACGGCATGTCTCAAAACTTTTCTGCACGAGTGCTTCATTTCCTCGCAGGCACACACAACAGCATTTTTAGTTAAAACAATATAATTGGCTGGTTTGTAAGTTTCTTACCTCACATAAGCAATAGATGTGATTTTAGAAACGGTCTCAGACAAGGCAGAGGGAAAAGGTCTGAACAAAAGCAATTAATGTAATGTAGGCCCAGTGTTTTACAGCCCATGAGTAAACACAATTTTTCAGCACACTTAACATGACCATCTGCTCCAGAACGACTCTTTAACAGGGTACTCTGCCAACTAATATGCTATGAAGTGTTGTAAACAGTGGAGCCTGCAGGATGGGCTCTGATAACGTTGTCTCCAAATGATTAAGTGCTTTTTAAATAGAGTTTACTGTGAAGAGCTGCTAACGAATGCACTAGTACTGCCAGTACGCTATAAAGTCACAAACATTTTTTTTTAACTAGTAAATGAGCACTAAACACAACATAGCTTATAATGAGATACCGCTGTTATTTTTGCTGACTCAGACAATACCTGATGAGTTCTGAGTATTTGCAGGGAAATGGTATTTACTCAACCTAGGACTTTTTGACACGCTACATCTACAAAGTTCAATGCACTTTGAGGTTTTGGGTGGCCCATATATTTATTTATATTCCCCTGGTAAAAAAAAAAAAAGACTTATTTATATATATACCACCTTCAGTGCAGTTACAGCTGATCTGAACTTTGACTGGACCACTCCAGCATATCAATATGCATTGGTCCAAATCCTTTTAAATCATATTAAAGGGTGTTGCCTTGCTGAAAAATGAACTTATGCCTCAGTATCACATATTTTGCACCTAGGATTGCCGTATGTTCTTGTGGTTTCCTTTCAACAATGGACTTATTCTTATTACTCTTCCATAGAGATCAAGTTTGCAAAGTTCATCTTGTCAGTAGATTCTCCCGCCTGAACACTGGGTTTCATTGGGTAGCTTGACTGTTCCTTGGTACATTATCTAAAGCTCTCCAGATTTAAGGCCTTCAGTGAACAGTTTTATTGATACTGAGATTATATTAGCCACATGTGAAACGCATTTACCAATCAGAAAACCTCAAGGGCAACTGGTTGTGCTGAATTTTATTAATATGCATCAGAGTAAAGGAGGATGAACAAAAAAAAAATCTGTTCAAAGGGCAAGAGGATATTTGCCAGGCAATACTGAAGCGGAGAGCTCTTCTGTGTTTGCAGAAATGTGAACATTGTTTTAACTTTTGGTCCATAACAGAAATGTCCTGGAAAACAAAACAAAAAAAAAAAACTGCCACATTAAGGAATGTCAAGTTTGCAGTCATAGTAAGTCCGCATTTAAACGATGTAGCTCCAGTCCCACTTCCTGTCAGCATTTCAAGTTCTAATGCCAAACACCAAACCTTAAAGAATGTGTAATAAATAGTATTTAAAAACTAAGAGGAGGTGAGATTACATTCTGAGACCGAGATGCTCATTGAAACCAACTGGGCCTGTGAGGATGTTTTAGAACAAACAAACTAACTTTTTATGCTTTTAATGACGTCTGAGAGTTGATTTGCTCAAGGACACATCTGCATGTTAGACTGTTGCGTACTCTGTGGCTTCGACCCACTGCTCGCAGCTTTAAGAAAAAAAAACAAAAAACAAAATCTGTTTAGCCAAGATGTGCTGCTGTAAATTACAAAGGTGAAGAAACAGAAGCTTCTTAATCCTTGAATGAAACAGAGAGACAGTCTTTCCTGTATGAAGTCATATTTAAAGAGCGGAGACGACTCTGATGCTGGTGACCATTTGAACACTTCTGATGCAACGAGTAAAGATGCAACAGAGATCAGTGGCTGATTTCTGATTTTTAGTTTCTGCTACTCTGACCAGAATAATAATGGCAGAGACCCAGATTATCCATTAAGTAAATAAGTAGTTAGTAATCCCATTAAAGAGAGATTACAACTGAAATAGTATTAAAAATATATATTTTTTATTATTATTTTCAACAGTTTGTCTGTTATAAAATCTGAAGCATGAACATATTTTACCATTACTTGTTTACTTTGATTTCTGAAGCGAATGACGCCTCCCTACAAATCCAACTAGGGAACCACTAAACCAGTGATGTTCAAACTTTGTGCCATATGGAATAAAAAAATAAAAAAGAAAAGAAAAACAAAATTTTGTTAAAAACCATAATCACAAAATTATACATCTTTTTAACTTGCTCAGTCAGATTTTTATTTTATTTTTTACAAATAAGAGATGTTTAAATTAGATCCTTAACTTAAGAGTTTGCACATTTGTCTTGTTATAAAAAAGGAAGATTTTTGTGGACTTGAACGAAAAATGTCTGAAGTCTGCTTTTGAGTAAATATCTCTAGATAGATGCAGTTATATTTACATCAAATGAAAGAAAGTGACAAAAGAATGGTTGTTAAAAAACAAATCATATGTGCTGAACCAAGCACGTTTCATTCTAAGATGAATTTGATCGTTTCATATAATAAACATAAAAAGTCTCAATTAACTTGCTGTTCTGGTTGTAAAATTCAGTCCAAGAGTGAAACTTTGGACAGGTGCGAAACTTTCACCTCAGTGATTGTTTTGTAAAGACTGAAAACACTCCTGAATCTAGCATCCTCCACAGCCAGAGGTCTAAAGCTCAAAGGAACCAACTGCAGCCAACTCGTTCAGTTATACATTCAGCCTTCCTGTTAGCTGCTTAAGATGACTCTCTTCACAACTAAAGGAGACACACCCAAGATGGGTACGAACTGACTTCCTGTGACAGATGGCTCTTTTCAATCCAAAAGGCCGGGAATGACCAAAATCACAAAACTGCAAAATGATGAAGGAGCAGAATGATCTGTTCCCCCACTATACAAATTGTAGCAACTTGAAAGAACAATCGACTTGAATCTGTAGCAAACACATTCACGTTATTGGAAAAAAAAAAACTAACTCCGAGACTTCTTCCAACACTGAAAACTTCCACACTGAAGAGGGTTGTGCTACCTCTTAAGGTTTTGATAAACCCCTCTGTCCATGAGGCAACACATCTGCCTATTCATGCCATTTTGCAGCTAGGCTAAACAACTGCACTCCACTCAGATAGATATTGTTTTCACTACAGCCTCTTCAAAAATATTAGTGTGCTGGCTCAAGCACTGCTTTCTCGGAAGAGAAAAAGAAAAAAGTACTTAAAAGAAAGAATAAAGCGATATCCAGAGAGACCGTCAACGAAGTTTATGTATCCTTGTTGCTGGCGAGAGATAAATTACCCATATTTTAAAAAAACAGCAGATTTCTCAATACTGAATATCTTAAGAAACAAACAAAAAAAAAAAACACTTCAATGAAACTTCTCTTTTTTTTTTTAAGATCTGCTGCGAGTCTGGCGCCACCCTTGTACTGGGAGTATTGCTCCCACTGATGGCAGCAATACTCCCAGGAGTATATAAATGCCATTTTTGCCATTTTCCTAAAATTGAGCAGCTGTAGCAGAGTCGTGGTGGCCCAGAGTTTGCATCTGCTGATGACCTAATTAACATTATATACCACATGTGGCTGAGAAGACTGAGATATATTAATTAGACAATTACGGTGGGTTCAGTGATCAGAAAAAAAGTGTGATTATTCAGTTCCTGACTGGGCAGACAAGCTGAAAAATAGTCCGGTTTTGGTCATCAGCCAATTTCTAGGTGCAGCTAAAAAATTATAATAAAAAAAAAAAAACCACAAGACTTTTAAAGACCTAATTATGATCTTGAGCAACCTTAACTGATTAAAATAATGATGTCAAAACGGAACATAGCAGGTTCTGTAACATGCATGTTATTAAATACCATCAGCCAAACATTTACATCTTCCAGCTTTACCTGCATTACATTATGGTCCGATCTCTGAACACACTCACTTTTATCCCTGAAAGGCCTTTTGACAGCCACTACTGATAGAAGACTGTGTTCCCTGGCAAGTATTGAGCCACTGATGTCAGGTCCAAGCAGCTTTTAACGACATGCGGGGGAAAAAAAAGAGAAGAAGAAGAAAAAAAACTGCTGCCATGTGAAGAAAACAGGGCCCAGTTAAAACCTATCCACTGCTGCTGTGGGTAATCCATTTTAACAGCGCTGTTTGCCTTTGGTCGTGAAATCATGACAAGGTAAATGAAGCACTGAAGGCCTCTGAATATGCACACGAAGGCCATTGGGACACTTTACAGTCCGGTGAAACGGTCCCCTGTAAAAACATTGGGATTTTTGCTTACAAATAAGCTGCTGCTGCACCACCGAAGTCCTCTTTCCTCTGCGTGGAAAGTTCTCGCTGTATTCCTATTTCCTAATCAGCAGCATTGCAGCGAAATATATGTCTGCGGCAAAAACACCCCTCCGTTCACCCTGGCTTCCTAATTAAGGTTTAAACAATAAAGAAAGGTAAGACAGGCAGCTCACGGAGCAGCCAAATGTCTCCACACCCTGCAACCTTTCATTTGAGCACCATTACATGGGGTTATGTCATCGTAAATAAGCACAGGTCCTTGAGTGAAAAAATTTGCTCGACACCCGCCAATGCAACGCGATGCTGCAAAACACTCCCTGCGCTGTTCATCTCCAGCCTTTCTGGGCCTTATGTTCAATAACCTGGCTGACAAACACAAAGTGCTTCCCCCGGTGCACAAGCAGATGATTTCATCTGAAGAGGTTTGCCTGGAGACAGAGCACTGCGCAGTGATGGGGGGGACAGAGAAAGCATAAATCCTACAAGGAGGACAGCCTTGTGGAAGGCTCTGGCTCTCCTCATGTCGTACATGTTCGGATGGGGAGAAAAAAAAAACATAGATTCGGGTTTATTTTAGGGGGGTGGAGGGTTCCGTTTCGGCCACTTACCTTCTCTCGCCTTCAGGAGAACCGTGTTGGCCACGATATTTTCAATCTCCATTGTCAGAACGTGAATCCCGTGCAATCTCGATACATTTCACTCAGCAGGAGAAAAAAGAAAAGACGGTTTTTCCAGATCAAAGGTGCCGACGGCCGCGAGGCTGTTGCACGCGCACAGGGCGAACGCGGCACTGGCGCATATTAGGACTCAATTAGCGCTCGTCGGTCCTTTTCAATCCCATATGTTTGGTCAAACCCGAGCCTACGGAGCTTTATGGTTACAGCGGAGCTTGTTAGCATTCACCGCCTGCCTGCCTGCCCGTCTTCCTTCCTGCTCCGGTTCCCTCCTCCTCTTTTTCCTCCTCCTCCTCACCCCTCCTCTGCGCAGCGAACCAGGGGAGAGTAGGAGGGATCAATTTACAACCACCGCAGCCACCGCACATTCAATCACAAGTGCATTCATACATAAATGCATGAATTTCCAAAGCTCTGGTTTTCTGAAGTGATTGTTTATGGACAGTCGTGTCTAAATCTGAACACAAACTCATATTCCATACGTCCATATGCTGCATTATGTTCGGCCCAGGGCCCTCTGGTTGGATTAGCTCTGCCTTCTGTCATTTTAGAAGTTGCACATTTGAGCTAAAACTGCTGCATGGGATTCCTTAAGGTTAAGTTCTCAGGGCACTTTTATTCAACATCCAAATGCTGCCCCTGACCTGATTACATCTTTGACAAAACCTATGCTGATGACACAGAGCGTTTGTTTTCCTTTACCAATTGTCCACAGTCCCTTAAAGTGGCGGTGGTTGTTTCTGGTTGGGTCATGTCACACTTTTTCTGTCTTTTTTGGCACAGCATGATGCCGTCCTCTGTGGGAGTCCAACCAATGCGTCAGTTTCACCCACAAACAGAATGTTTCGTGCCGACTGCATGCGAAAGAACAATGAAGTATTTAAATGACAGTCTACTGTAAGAAGAAAGAGCTGTGATGCCAACAAATAATAACAGATAGAAAACATCTACAAGGAGATTCCTCCAATTTGCCATATTTGTTAAGAATCTACTGTCCTTAACGACAATCAAAGTTTCTAAAAATTCACTACAACTGAGTTATAACATCCATTAATATTATTATTTTTATGAACTTTTTTCTCCCTAATTAGTACAATTGATTCCTACAACCAAAAAGGCACTGATTGGTAGTGGCTTGGGTGCACTGATACAAAGTGGTTTGTTTGCAAGTACAAGATTAATAGGAAGGGATGGAAAGGTGATGTATAGTTACAAAGCCACGTGAGGTCGGGTTTAAATTATTTCATAACCTGGGAAAGGCCACATCATTTACATGTTAAGCCACTTGAATTAATAGAGAGTGTAGTTTCTTTTCACCACACCGTAGGTTTGAACTTGGATCAACATTTTAACAGTAATGTAAAGTTCACTGCTTATTCAGCAAAACTATTCAAGAATTAAAGGATTCAATCGGTGACAGAAAAAGTGCAGGATGCTTTTATTTTCAGTAGATTATTGTTGTCTGTTGTTCCAGTGTAAGGAGACCTCAGGGCGAACACAGAACCTGTTGGAGGTAAGGTCCACTAGAGGTTGAACGCCTTCAACCTTCAGAACCACCTCGACTTTTTGTGGCACATTTAAAAAGGTTTCATAAATATTCTGAACATTCAACAAATTAACCAGCTGATCATGAGAATCTGCTGTTTCCATCGCTCAAGAAACCATTCTGATGATTGTGACATAGTATATGGTCTTGATGAAAGTAGCCATATGAAGATGGCTGGTTCTGAGGAGCCCAAACCAGCAAATTATCTGCCACACAGTTACACCAGCAGCACCAATCTGGGCTGTCAAGACAAGGAAAATGGATCTGTTCCTTTATGTTGTCTATGGCTTATTCTGACCCGGCGGCCTGTTTCTTTGAAAATGATGCTCATCAGACGTTTCTCCAGTTGGTTATTGTCCAGTTTTCTGGAGTCAGTTTGGTGTTGGTGGCTTGTGCTATTGGCACACCTTGCGGTCTTCTCTTGCTGTAGCTCAACTGTGTGTTTTACATGTTGTATTTGTCATGCTTTGCTTGTAAAAAGGGGTAAATTGAGCTTATGTTTAGATTTTTAGTCTGTCTGGCCATTCTCCTTTGATTTCTGAAATCAACATGTTTTATCCACATATCTGCCTCTCAATGGGTATATACTGTATACATTTTTCTACTATTTGAATCTGTTGTGAGTGGAAACCCTGCACATGTCCAATTCCTGAAATACTCAGACCCGCCTGGGACAAGCAACCACGCCACAAAGAGTTTGGAAATTATTTTCACACTGATATGTATTTTTCACCTCAGACGTCAATTCCTGCTACTATGCTATGAAAAGATTAAGCAGGAATTCATATCCAAGGAAAATCTGTCAATAATCCACCTTATATTTAATTTGTGTGCAACTTTTGGTCATATTAAAGAATATCTACTTACAGGGATCAAGAGCAAAACTCATATGGGAAAATAATAACTTAAAGAGGCAGAAATTTAAAAGTGATTTGTTAACACAAGACTGAGGTACTTAACGAAGGTCTTAATGAAGCTTCTGGAAAATTTCTGGAAGTGTAAGTGGAGCTTTATTATACAAAATGTCCGAAAACTTTATATAAAATTAAAAAATGCAGTTCTCCTACCAAAAGATTACAAAATGCCTGCAAGAAGAAAATATGCTTTGTAGAAATTTCGTAACATTAAAAATCACAGGAGCAGAATATAAATAAAGAAATGCAAAAATAAATGAATCAGTGTTTTAAGAATATGTAAAAAATAATACTACAAGAAAATATTTAGTGAAAATAAGCACAACATTAAGAAAATTTGGAATATCATCAATTATATTATTTAAAAAATAGCACAGATACGATTGAGTATCCAAAATATTCCATCATTTATATAAATATCACAACAGCAGATCCCTGCATTTAATGTCAATAGCAAGATTTTTAAGTATTTCCTTAAAATGTAAATTATTTCTTGTCTTTTCATATCAGGTTTTATTGTCCATTTTATGTGAAAACATCTGAATAACCCAGTTTATATTTTTATAGCATGAACATTATAAAAATAAACTAGTGCAATTATGCCATATTGAAATCATCTAGAAAGGTTAAATAATCGCCCATGTGTCCATACATAATTCATGTTAAAATGCACAAGATACATGTTGAACAACACTGGCTGAGCTGTTATACTTGTGGTTGTTGTGCATCTTGTGGAAAAGAGTTTCTTTCCAGTTTCTGCATCCTCTGGGCGTTAAATGTCCCATCCATCCCCAGTTGAATGCCTCCACCTTGTGGTGGTAATGCAAAAACACAAAACGTCGTTAACACATTGTGGTCCTCCAATATTGCTACAGTTTTACTGAACTTTATGGAAAAATGGCTCCTAAAGTGTTTATATGCATATATGGAATATAAATATGAAGACAGTGTTTCAGTGACAAAGTAAATGTCACTGAAACACATTTACTTGCCATCTCCAGGGAACAGTATGATACTGTATTATCTGCAGGTTTAGTCAACAAAATGTTCAGTCTTTTTTCTTTAATATTTGATAATTATGATTTTATGTGATGTGCTTATTGGGAACCTGGTAATTTGGTTGAATTAAAGGTGCAGTGCTATGTTTGCTATACAACAGCTGAAGGCAACATTAATCTAGCAATGAAATCACTGGAAAATACATAATAAAACATTGGATAACATTTTTTCCTTCAAAAGAGGAATTTATTTAAAATTGGTTTTAAAAAACTTTTACTTAGGATGTTCTTGGCTGATATCTAAATTGGTATTATGCTAAAAAAGCAACGACAACAGCATGCAAAGACAGAAGAAATCTTTAAATAAACGTGTTTTTGCTTCACTCTTGGTAAAACCGATGGAGAGGAAAACATGCTTTCTCCTCTGAGATCTTTCTAGCTTGGTGATGGAGGGGTTTTTCTGTAAACAATGGCTGCTTATAACATCTCTGACAAAGCATCGGAGGTCACTTTTGTCAAAGTAATATAATCTGTAGAAGCCCACCAGCTAGTTGTGGCTTGACTTAATGTTCAAGCAAAACATAATCTTTTGAAATCTGAGGTGCTTCATATCCAGTGTTGTCAAACTGGTCCAGCTTGTTTCATTTCTGACTTGACCGAGACATGAAACTACATGCATCTTAAAAGAAAACTTAATGACTTGCAAATTTTTTTATTCTTGTTAGACAGTGTGCCTGTTTTTACACACGTACACGTAATTGCAAAAGTATCTCATTATCACATTACAATTACAAACATATTGTATTTTATTAGTATTTTACATGACATACCGATGGAAAGCAGTACAGAGCTGTGAAATGGAATATTTAAAAATATATATATTTTACAAATACAAATCTGAAAGATCCCTCATTACTCCTCAGACAGCAGCACTGGTAAGTTATCCGACCAATGCATTAGTGATGAAGCATTTAAAGATAACTGATCATCATTCTGACCACATAGTGACTTACTACACAGTGACTGACAGCAGGAGAAGCATCATGCTGTGGACATTTCTTCAGGAGGGACAGAGAAGTGTGTCAGAGCTGAGAGGAAGATGGATGAAGATAAATAAATGGTGAAAAGTAAACCAGTTAGAAGCTCCAAAAGACTTGAGGCTATGATGGAAAATCATCTTCCAGCAGAACAGGAACTGTAAGCGCACATGCTTTAGATTAAAGCTTCTTCATAAGGCCCAGTTAAAGTCCACACATAAGTATGATTAAGAAATATTGGCAGAACTTTAAAAACAGTATTCACAAACTTTTTTCACCAATTCTGACTGAATTTTGGCTAATTTGCGAAGAGGAATGGGGAAACAATTCAATCCGACGTGCAAATGGAAGACATACCCAAACAGACTTGCAGCTTCAAAGGTGGTTCTACAAAGTACAAACTAAGGCTGGAAACTAATTCATGTCACACATTCCAAATGTTCTTTTAAAACATATAAACCTCTGTAGACTTTTTTCTTTTGCTTCACAAACATGCGCAACTTTGTGCTAACATAAAATCCCATACATTGAACGTTTTGGTGGTAAAGTCACAAAATATGAAAAGCTTTGTGTAGTATATCCAAGGAACCATAAACAGGAAAGGAGTGTGACAAGTATCTGTCAGTAAAACTTAACACCCCTGATATATTTATAATTAATTACACAAACAACCATAACAAAATTAAGAACACAAGAAAAAATGGGGATTGTGAGAAATATGCTGTAAATTACAGCAAGTGTTGAAACACACTTGCTGTATTTAAAACCAATATTTTTTACTTGAAACAAACAAATATAA